CGCGAGGTCGATGCTTACGAAGAAATTCCTGTCCTATTGATTGACCTGGATCTGCAGAAGATCTGTACACTGGTGGAGTGCCGTGATTCGCGTTTTCTGCCGGTTTTGCACGCGATCTGTAATTATTGACTAACTCGTGGCGGTCACGATACTTGCCTGAACGTTAGTCCCTGCAGGTTCCCGCGGTATCTGGGTCATCAAACGAGAGAAAATAGAGGGGAAAGAAACTGAAAAGATGTTCAGATTTTCGAGAACTTTTTTCCCTTTCCTCTTTTATTGGTCTTCGAATCTTCCTTGTACAGCAATGGTGACAATATATCTTGGATTCTTTCGCGTGTATCATGATAAACGAGCGGCTTAGGTTCTAGCTAGACACCGAAATACATGTGTAATCATCAAAGCGTTCAATTCAGATGATTCGTTAATATCTATATATTAAACTTCTTTTTTCTTCTAAAACAGAAAAAAAAAAAAAAAAACACCTCCGTACATACGCAGGAGAAGAGAAACTGTAACGAAAATACAGAAGAAACATACCGTGTTCGGGGTGTACGTATGGCACGTTCCTGTTCAAGAGATGTATATTATTAATTTAGCTGTGACATCTAGGAATGAATTGTCTGCGACTATAACAAAGTATAGGACTTTTAATCTTACTTTCGGCAAGCGGAAAGCAGCGTGGATTTAAATAGATTCAAGCGTTACACCGTTCGTCGCGAATGTATCATAATATTTTATTTCAACCTCGTAAATAAAAAATTATGTAGATTTCATTTTAAAAAGTTCCTTTCCCTCTGCTTTAAAAAGCGCCTCGAAGTGAAATTTATCGCAAATTTTATTACCCCCTTAGATGTATAAAATTATGATTTTCACAGTGTCTATTTTGTGCGAGATTATATTATTATTTTGATCAGCAATATTCGTTCAGTAATATTCTCTCAATGTTTGACTTTCGTTTCCTTTCAAAACAAGTGACATATATGACTTGTTATGTTATTTGGGAAATCCCGCTCTCGTGCCACGCGCCAAAACCCGTTCACTTTTCTTCACTTTTCTCTATGCTGTAAGTACTCACACTCAGGTGAACAGATAATCGTAAATAATTGTACCATGCTTCGCAAGTGCAGTCTCGACGCAACAAACGATCCTTATCAACCTCAGACTCACGATCAATAGAGCACCTAACTCGACATTTAACTCGAAATTGAACTCATCCGTTCCGATTTCTCTAAAAGTCGTTTGACTTTCAGCAACTCGATAGTACATATATCCTCTCAAGTTCTAACGTTTATATATACCCTCTCATCGAAGATCGCACTTCTCGTTTCTGTTAAATCAATAAAAACGACGGATACAACTATAGTTTACTAAAGTTTACCTCTCATTGATCGAACGAAACGAACATCGTAGCTATATCCCGCGAACGATTTGAAGACTTGCCTAGCGTTTCAAAATTGTTCTAACAAACGCGACGTAGATGAAACGGGTCTGTCGTTAATTCCATCTGCTCGTCCACTCGTCGACGATCGTAGAATCAAGACAGACCGCTTCTCCTTTCCGGTTTAGGCTTTCAGCTTTTCAAACGATAACGCCTTGTTGAGCGAGCAATTGCTTCCTCTGGTGAAGACTCGGCGACTCCCCCTCCATCTCCGCGACGGCTTTAACGCTGTCGAACGACTTCGAGGTCTTCAAATTATTCAGAGCTTTCAAACAGCTGTTCGTGGTCATTTCTAACGACTTGGAGCTCTTCAGCGACGCGTTCGCCAATTTCTTGATGGTCTCGGAAATGGGACACTTGATGAAATCGGCTCTCTCCCTTTCCTTCTCTTTGACCCTCTGATTGTTCTCCACGGCCAGCAGAGGATCCTTTGCCTCTTTTTCCTGTCCACTCTCCTCTTCCTCCTCCTCCTTCTCCCCCTCTTTCGCTCCATCTTTGAAATCCTTTTGACTCTCGTCCACGTTCGATCCTCTGAGGATGTTCAGCGTTGACTCGGTCTGATCCTGGCGCGATTCAACGTGATCGTTGCTGCTGCTGTCTTCTTCGTCCTTCCGGTCGTCTTGGCTCAACAATGACTTCGGCGGTGCCTCGACGTAGCCGCTCTCGTCGCTGTCCACTTCCTCGTCCAACGAGTCCAAGGTCAAGAAAGGGGACTCGTCATTCTGCAGCAAGTCGTGGCTCATCCTTCCCGGGTATTTCTCCATTACTCGTCTCTCCTGCGGGTCGTCCAGCCTGCGTAGTATCTCGCCCCTCGGCCTGTAATCAACCACGTCGTCGAAGTCCTCGGCGTCCTCGAAGTCGAACACGTGCGAGGCTGGATCCTCTATCTCTTCGTCCTCCTCCTCCATCGACTCGTCCTCCTCGTTGCGCGATGGAAACCTCTCTCGGCCGGTGTGCACGACGCTCCGACGGTGAAAACGCGGACTGCCGGCACAGGTCATGAAGTTTGGGGAACCCTCGGAGTTCCTTCGTGGGCCGCCACCTCTCACCATCGCCTCGTTCGCGAACATCACTCTTCTGTCCATCTGTTGCTCCCTTGTGTCACCTGTAACGAAAGCAAGTACCGGAGTGTACAATTTTTCTTTTTATTTTTGTTTCTTTATTTCTTTTTTTATTTACTTTTTCGCACGGAAAACAACCTCCTGTTAATTACTCATTCCTGTATCGCGTGTAGAATTCATCTAGAGTCTACTCGATAAATCTTCAAACTCGACTTTCTGGAAAACGAAGGCTTCGAATAAAACAATTTTGTTCTGCATCTTTTTCTTATATATATATATATATATATATTTTTTTTTTTTTTTTTTGACAAAGAGAATGATGTATGATGCAATAAAAGAAAGGTTGTATGGGAAAAAACATCAATCACCTTGAAAAAAAATATTCTTACGAGTCATTGAACTTTCATTACCATTTATGTTAGGCAAAAAATATTTTCTGCAGCATTACAATTCGAAAAGATATTTAGGTGGCCACCTGAATGGATCAACCTGTATATTTTGAGCATTAATCGAGGTATTACTGCACTATACATGGAATTTATATTTCTCCTTAATTCATACTAACAGAGAATCTATCAAGTATCGATGCATTGAAAATTGTATTATAAATTACAACAGTGCAATTTTATTATTTATAACAAAAGTATTGAATATTAAAAGTTCTAAAACTTCTGAGTTTGTATTTTTGTATTATATGTATTATATATAAATTTTGCATACTATCAAAACAGAGATGACATACATCAGGTGTTAATTATTATTTTGAGCATATATTAATACAATAATTTATATATACATTTACATAAAAATTATTGTTATTATACTCACGCACGTGTATAATAATTAAAATCGTAAAGAAGACTTGCGTCATTAATTAGTCAGATTATTCGATTCCAAATTGCCCGGATTCAAGCATTTCACAAGTTAATTAAATAATGAATATTCGAGTAATGAAATGACGTGGTTATATAATGAATCCACAGTTTTAAAATAGTTTGATAATAATTCGCTGTATCCATGAGACGCGAAATTATCTTTCTTATACGGAGAAAAATTAATCTTTCTTATACAGAGTGTCCCATTTTGATCTATGAATGCAATTATCTCTGAAACTATTCCTCATTTAAACCATGTCTCAAATGTATTTTTTTTTCTTTTCTATTTCGAGAGGATAGTAATTTGGCACACTTAGTTTGTCTTTATATAACACTAATGTAGGAAATATGGTTACCATTATTTTTTTCAAGTACAATTGTGCAATTCTTTTTGCATCGATCGATACAGCAGGTCTCTACAAAAACTTATCTACGTCTAAAACTCATTAGTTTAAGAGATGTTTTTTTTTATAAAATCTATAAAAGGCAAGAATACTTCTCTTGTCCTTCCTCGTTTTATATATGATAATTAAAGTTAAATTTTCTGACGTAAAAAAAAAAAAAAAA